TAGAACTACAAGATATGGAATAGAACTAAATAGAACTACAAGATATGGAATAGAACTAAATAGAACTAAGATATTAAATAAGAATACAAAATACTGAATAGAACTAAAATATTAAATAAAACTAAGCAATATTGAATAGAACTAAATATAACTAAGATATTAAATAAGAATACAAAATATTGAATAGAACTAAATATAACTAAAATATTAAATAAAACAAAATATTGAATAGAACTAAACAGAACTAAAATATTAAATAAAACTATAAGATATTAAATAGAACTATAAAATATTGAATAAAACTAAATAGAACCAAGATATTAAACAGAACTACAAGATATTGAATAGAACTAAATAGAACTATAAGATATTGAATAGAACTAAATAGAACTATAAGATATTGAATAGAACTATAAAATACTGAATAACAACAACTATTTATATCCTATTTTATTTGTAAAGTAACTAAATATTGGGTTATCAGAAACTAGGTTTTTAAAACAACGCACTTTCTTTATTAAATTTTTTAATACTTTCATTGAGCAGGTGTCAATAGGCTTAGATATTTTCCTCTCGCATTCATATAAAACTACACATTAGTATATCACATTATGTATATCATTATTTATTGAAAATAAAGTACAATGTTCACTTTCTCATTCAGATATCCTTGTTCAATGTTTAAAGTTAAGGAGGTTAAGACATAAGAACAGTAGTTCCTGTGCATTTTGTGGAAACTGGTTTCTCTTTGCCTCATTAATACTTGTATTACACATACGCTGTCAAATGGGGTTGATTGAAATCTCCGTGCTAACTGAGAAAGACCTAGAAATGTGGCCTTGTTCAACATCCACCATATTAACTGATTAGATTGTTAAATTAAAATTGGAAGAGATATACAAAAATCAAGTGTTTTGGTGCAAAAGCAACTTCTTTACCATGACTTGGTTTTACCAATATCACTGTGACATGCAAGCATATCATACGTTCTCTACCTACTTTACTGATATAGAAACTTTCTAAACTTTCCAGTTTAGTTTTTCTGCTGTAATCCAGGAACACACGATTCAGAGAGTTGCTTCCTTTTTTTCTCTACACTAGATGATGTGTCTTTTACCCAAGAAGATATTGCAGTAATATATAGCATCTAGGTTGAATGGATAGACACTAATATCCCTTGCTGGATAAGTATAACATCAACTAGTGACCAATTCTGTGAGAGAATAAATGTCACTAGTTAATGCTGTCCACTGGATAAAAAAAGCAAGTTTAACCTGTTAAATTCAAAAACATTTCCTTTATTCAGTTATGCTAGAAGGTTAGAGGGTAAAGGCTTACATCTAAGATCATCATGTTTAGTTTGACAGTAGTCTCCTGAGAAAAAAAGTTGTGGGACTCAGCCCAACCTAGTAGATGTAACAAGTACACATGCTACATTTTATTTTGGTCTGTTTTGTAAGTTGTTTTCATTTTTAGAAACTTTGTCCAGTCTCAATACTTTACTCACACTAGGAAGACTCAGCTATCTAATGGATCATTATGATCCATCTATCTAATACTTGTTTAGAAATTTGCAGTTTTTACCTGACAATACCACATCATTAATGAAGCAGGTTTTTGCAGATATTTCACCACTGCAATCACAGAATAAATCGTCTCTCCATTGCTACAATATATTCATAGGTCATTTTTGGTTATAATGGTGTGGAGTCATCTATACCCCTTCTAATAGATCTTTAACTACATTTGATTGTGAAATTGGAGGTGACAATGTTTTTTTTTTTTTAACCAAACTCTGTCTCACTATTTGGTTCTGTTGCTCTTTTAACCTTGCTAGTTTAAAGTAGGGATCCAACAAAGTATGATGAAATTTGGATTACTTTGTGCTCAATAAAATTTATTTTCAAGTTTGTCTTGAAAGTGACTGTGAATCGAAGTAGTAGAAGATATATCATATATCTGACACAAAGTACCAACTAGGCAATGAGCGTGTGTGTATTGAAAATAACAGGTCTCTGTACACCTTGTTTACTGACTGTTACTAATATTGTACCTGCTCTTAACAACTTGCTGACATTGCGGGATTTATTATAGGTTGAGATTTAAGAAAACATTGGAAACATCCAGATAAGATTACTATTCATAAAATTATTTCATCTCTATAGAAAAATATTGGCAAGTTGTAGACACTATACAGAGACAACTACAATAATATTATTCACCTAGAATTATAGTATGATATTTGTTAAAGTATTATTGACAGTTGTAGACACCAGACAGATAACTAAAATAATAGTATTCACCAAGAATTATATTATGATTGTTTGTTAGTGTTACTGACTGATGTAGACACCAGACAGATAACTACAATAATAGTATTCACCTAGAATTATATTATGATTCTTTGTTAGTGCTACTGACTGTTGTAGACACTAGACAGACAACTACAATAATAGTATTCACCTATAATTAGAGTATGATCTTTGTAAAGTATTACTGACAGTTGTAGACACCAGACAGATAACTACAATAATAGTATTCATCTAGAATTAGAGTACAATCTTTGTTATTTATTCTCTATTTATCATGAGTTGAGCCAACACTAGATGTCCTTATGATTTAGTCATTTTTATCAAGATATCAGTAGTAATTGTGAATTCCACGTATATGACAAATTAAAGAGGTTTTCTCAATGTAGTATTTTTACCTTAGTTCTGGTTTTATGCACCTATGTTCATTCCAATGTAGGTTTTCTCAATGTAGTACTTTTACCTTAGTTCTGGTTTTATGCACCTTTGCTCATTCTAATATACTGTTACAACATCAGAAGTCACATGATGCTGAGAGCATGCATGAACGAGTTTCTCAAATTTTCAGGGAAGCTCGAGTCTGATCGAGAGACACCTCTTTGTTGTATACAAGCCTGGTAGAGAAAGCCTGAGGATGATGAATGTACGATAAAGCAAACAGTAGTCAGAGTAAGTTTCGGGCTAAGTTATTGAGATTGTGAATCACTGTGGTTTATAGCATGTATTATAAAAGTAGTTAAGTTTAAAGTGCCAAGAAACATACTGATTGTGAAATTACTGTGTACTAAAAGTTTGTTTCGAGAAAGAATAAACTGAGTTAATCAAGAAGGGACTTGTATCGCTGAAGTTCCTCGGAAACAATTTATACCGAAATTTAACAAACAAGCAGATATGTAACAATACATTAATGAATTGATTACTTACCTTCTGACTGGCAAGTGATCAAATTTCCTACAAACTTAACATTTCTTTTTTCCTCCTTTCTTTCCATTAAGACATTTCAACCTTCACATGATTAAAATAAAATCAGAGGTCTCAATTAATGGCTTATGGCACCAGAACTGAAAAAAGGCTTGTAAGATTTATGTAGAAAAGAATCTGCTCTTTCTACTGATATTAAGCATGCCCATTACCCATGTAAAGTTAATCAGGAAACAATATCAAAAGTCAGAGAGAGAGTGTGTGTGTGTGTGTGGTGGGGGTTCTCTAGTGGATCTGACAAACTTATTAATATCTCGTCAAATGAACAAGGTAGGAGATTCAAATTTCATTTTTTTTTGCTTACAGTTATGTAATTTGTGTTCCCAATTTGTTGGAAACTTGGGCAGCCCATTTTTGATATTAGAATATTTTGAGAAGTGGAAAAATTGGAGTTCAGATATATCAAATGACAGAAAAATGAAGATTTTTGAAGTTAAGACATTAAAACTTAGATAGTACAGAAATATGACTTATGAACTACCTTCTCATGTCAGGATAATTGACACATTGATAATAAGAGTTGAGATAAATTTTGAATGTAAAACTGTGAAAGGTCATGATATGCACAAAAAAAAAGCTGTCTGGATGCAAAGGATTATTCCAGAACTTTTCCATGCTTGTACTCTTACTTTCTAGAAGTTTTATATCTTACCAGGAGACACCACTGCTTGAGGATCACTCATGTCGAAGGCAGCCATGTTTCCAATAGCGAAGCCATAACCTGAGTGAATATCTGGTAAACCAATTGATTTCTGGAAAAACAAAACAAAAAATATTATGTATATTGATTTATTAAAGCAAATTTAAAACTTTACTGTAATTAGATGTGATAAATACCTTTGAAAAATACAGACTACATAAGAATGAACTACTTTAAATACTTACACTTAATTTTTCCTTGAATATTTATTAGATTTTCAGCTAAATCTATCAGCATCATGTGTAACCACATTAACGAGTCTTAACATTAACATTACATAGTGCTACACTATAACCACATTAACACTACACAGTGCTACAGTATAACCACATTAACTAGTCTTAACATTACATAGGCCTATTGCATAACAATTTAACTAGTCTTAACACTAATATTACATAGCACTGCAGTGTAACCACATAAGCTGTATAACTTCTAATGCTACATATAGTGCTGCGCACTTAACAAATAATTGTCCATTAGAACCAACAAATATACATTTTATTAATTGTTTCCTATGAAGTACTTATAATTATGTTTATGAATACTTACACCAACAATTCCAGGAAGGGCAGCAACATTACCAATCTGTTTGACTCCTGGTAGAAATCCACCAACCATTCCAGGTCGACAGGAGTTTCTCAATTCATCAAACATTAGTTTCTCAAGGTAGTCATTAACATAGAAGAGACCCTCAACCTGAGAATAAAAACAACATGTCAGCACAAACTACCACCCTCAACCTGAGAATAAAAACAATATGTCAGCACACACTACCACCCTCAACCTGAGAATAAAAAATAATGTCAGCACATATTACCACCCTCAACCTGAGAATAAAAATAATGTCAGCACACACTACCACCCTCAACCTGAGAATAAAAATAATGTCAGCACACACTAACAATCTCAACCTGAGAATAAAAATACATCAGCACACACTACCACCCTCAACCTGAGAACAAAAATCATACATCAGCACGTACTACCACCCTCAACCTGAGAAGAAAAAATAATAAGTCAGCAGCACACATTACCAAAATTCAGAGCTGTATAACAATAGTTATATGAAATTAGACATTAGTGTTCTCTAAGAGTCCCTCAACCTGAGAATATAGTAAAAATAATACTTTAGCACACGCTACCAAATACTCAGTGTTGCACAACAATACATATTATATGGAATTAAACATTAACTCTCTCACTACAGGCTCAGTCCCAGGGTCCAATTTTGTAACCATTTTGTGCTTGTTATAGTTTTCATGCTATAACTTTTAATACAGTATGCGCATTAGATGTTACATAGGCTACGAAGAGCTGATTCTGAAGTGATATTGGTGAAATAATCCTAGTTTGTTGAAGTTATTCTGGTAAAGTGAATTGCTATACTATTCATTATTCAGAAACTGAAAGGATAATTTTTACATTAATTATTCAACAGGATTGCCTCTTTCTCCTTAGGCCATGGTGTATTTTGAGTTATTTATTATCAGCCAAAAAGTGCTACTGGTTCATCCACAAAACACATCACAAAAGTAAAGTTGATGGGAAACATGAATGCCCAAGGTTTTTATTTTGCATCAAAGCACTCCAAAAAGTGCATTATCTGAGGTTACAATTTCAAATTAAAATTATCCCAAGTAGTAACCTTGCTTTTGAATAAAAGGTCCTCACCTATCAAATACAAGCTAAAGTACTGTAGTAACATATCTCATGTTGTAAAGATTAAAAGCTTTATATGCACAAATGTACAAAAATATGAAGTTGATTACCCTGGCTAGTTTTAACGTACCACATGCATCATTTTCAAGGGTATACCTCTAAAAAAAATATCAGTGTTTTAACCATTTCACACCTAAAAACATCTTAAAAACCTTGGATTTTTTAATAGAAATCTATAATAAAAGAATTTCACATATCAACAAAGGTGTTAAATGAATTAATGTAAGTACATTAACAAAAAGTTTTAAAATCCCATTTAATAAATTCTAAATTATTTTACGTCACACACACAGACATACATAAAACTGCTTTAAATGTTTCTAGAAGTAAATATATGTTTCACAAAGTGCAGGTATAATTAAACAAAAATGTGTATCATTGATTGTAACATTTTTTTTATTCTAATTTTCCTTTCTACAAAAGTGATTTTTAATTACAATGAGATGAACTCATTTCTAAACCTAAAGAAGATTTTATTCTTTCCATTTTATGAAACCTTGTATTGAAATTGGTCCTGTTTAAAACATATTTAAGCAACGAGAGACCACATCAGCAAGCATTGACAGGGTAATTTTACCAAAATTGCTATGATCCAGCAGTGAAAGGGTAACTTCTAATGAAGTGGCTATGATCCAGCACTGACAGGGTAACTTCTAAACATGTATCTATGATCCAGCACTATCAGGGTAACTTCTAACCAAATGGCTATGATCCAAATGGATAAGAGATTCTTACAGTAAATTTCAAAATGAAAAAGAGGAAACTTTTTTAAAGAATATCTGAATATTTTATTTTCTGATAAAACCATTATTAATTTCTAAAAATAATCATTGTTCAAAATAACTAAACCAAATCCTTTGAAAAGTTTTAAAATAACATGCTAGATGGAACATTGTATCAAGACTTTCAAATTTTGTTTTACAAAAATTACCTATGGAGGTTAAATTTGCCCAAGGAACTTTTGGGCTGACTGGAGCTATAAAAGATGTGGTCTAGGAACAATATGGTAGACCCACTACAACAGATGTGGTCCAGGAACAATATGGTAGACCCACTACAACAGATGTGGTCCAGGAACAATATGGTAGACCCACTACAACAGATGTGGTCCAGGAACAATATGGTAGACCCACTACAACAGATGTGGTCCAGGAACAATATGGTAGACCAACTACAACAGATGTGGTCCAGGAACAATATGGTAGCCACTACAACAGATGTGGTCTAGGAACAATATGGTAGATCCACTACAGCAGATGTGGTCTAGGAACAATATGGTAGATCCACTACAGCAGATGTGGTCTAGGAACAATATGGTAGATCCACTACAAAAGATGTGGTCTAGGAACATTATGGTAGACCCACTACAACAGATGTGGTCTAGGAACAATATAGTAAACCCAGTAAAAAAGATTTGGTTGAGAAACAATTGGATTAACCTACATATAAAGATGTGGACTGGATGCCTGGAAACTTGTAAAAAAACATCTCATGTTTTGAAATATAAATCTCACACTGGAAGAGTTCCTTATAAATGTGGCAGTAAAAGTTTGGTTTGAATTTCATGCAAAGCTACATAAAGGCTATCTGTGCTAGCCATCCATAATTTAGCAGTGACATAACAGAGGTAAGGCAGCTATGCAACACCATCAATCACCAACTCTTAGGCTAATCTTTTACCAATGAATGGTGGAAATTGACCATCACAGCTGAAAAGGTGAGCATATTCAGTGATGGGGATTGGAACCCACAACCCCCAGCTTGTGAGTAGAGCACCCTAACTACCAGATCATGCCAAGCAGTAAAAGAGTTAATTCTTCCTTTCAACGATAATTGTTCAGGAATCTATTAACACTTGGTACAAAAATATGCAATGTAATTTACAATTTACATTTCATAAATATTAATGTTCTTTTGAATCAACCATTTGCACACATTAAGTATTCATACTACAACTTTTAAAGCAGTATGTGTAGTTTCACAAAATTTGGTGGTAGACTTTCAGTAAACATTACAAGTATATTGTAAAAAAAACAACAACATGTTTTTTAATGAAGTATTTTTACTAAAGATTTGTTTGTGAAAATATCAAGTCTGCTTCGTTACTAATCAGAGTGCAAAGTGATTTTCATGTTATGATTAAAAAACTATTCTTCATCCCAAAAATCTCAAATATTATTTGTGTAATCTCTACAACCTCCTAAAGATATTTCAAACATTTGTTTCCAGTAAAACTTTATAATTTGTCTGTTATTTCCTCTACCCTAACCATACACAGTCTATCAATTTGACCGAACTTGTAACCAACATTAAAAATTAGGAAATAAATATAAATTATGCTTATTTCGTTCTAGATTTACTACAAATTATAACACGAAAACACAAATGTTTAGTCTTAATAGCTTAAATCTCGTAACATTATACATTTATATAATTATTTTTATTATATTGACCTTCCAGTCGTGCCTGGCTAACATTATAGAAATTGCAATGACGTGGCACATGTGTACTCATGTTACCAGGTTTTTTATATATATATACACATTTGAAATAACCCAAAATAATAAATTTCTCTATCAATACCATAGAATTCCAATATATTTTATCAAATTTAGTAACTAAGCTGTATATTTTATATTTTGAGCTCATTAAAGTGTCAACTTACTCTCTTCAAATCCAGAGTGAAAAGAAAGGATTTCCCACACAAATAATTTTCAAAGGCTCACAGAATCATGTGGGGGACATTCTGAGCTTTTGATTGGTTATTCACACGTCACAAACAGAAGTAGGTTTACATATCCAAGTGTCTCAAAAAATGGAAAGAGGTGGGAAAGGGGCCACTGTGTTGGATTCGGTATATGAAGCAATATCTCAGCAAATAGAAAAGATAGGAGGTTTATATTTTATATTCTAGCTTGTCAATAGTGGTAATTTGAGTTTCTAATTCGTACAAAACTACAGGCTTTGTAATTAGACATCCCAAACATATAATTTGAACCAATGCTGCATTCAACATTTTGTATTTGGACATCACAAATACCTAATTTGAACCAATGCTGCATTCAACATACCACGTGTCACACAAAAATCTATATTTAGGTGTGTTATATTAATGTTTACTCTTAAATTATGAAATTAACTAATGTATAACACTAAAATTTGAATTATAATCTACAATTTAATAACCAAACATATTAGACAAATT